GACAATTTCAGCAAGTTTTGGATATTTATACAAAATCAAGCAAGCCAACTGTTACCAAACTGGTTTCTGATTTAAATCATGATATTTACATATATCTAGTAACCTATAGAACAAAGAATATCAGTTTTCCTAGATCATGAACATTAATTGTTCACTAGAAAGGTGTAGCCATTCAACCTATTTACATTTTTCAGTATGACGGAAACCACATGAGCATTAGAAAAAATGTCATGCAATTAGTTTTTGAGCCCATGACTTCTACATGAAGAGATGATGAGGAGAATACAGATTGCAAATGAGATGCAAGGGCAAAGCATGTCCTAGTCTTCCTGGGATGTCATTATTTAAGCCTGATCGCTCTTTTCCACAATCCCTCGTTTTCCCTATAAATAAGATCCCCTTTAAAGGTTTTGAGATTCGTAAACACAATTCTCCCCAAAGATATCCAATCTTGGAGGTCATCATCTGAAGGAGACAAATTGCAATATAATTTTGGAATCACAAATGGGTTAAAGCAGGTTGGTGAGCAAGCTTGGAAATTTATGCCACTCATTTTTTAAAGTTCACCAGATGGCACTGAAATGTGGGAATCACATGTTACAACATGATGCCTATCATTTGCTATTGCTACTGTGAAAATTTGAGTCATGGACAAATTTTCAAGCAAGAAGGCTTTGGTAAGATCAGTTCAGAAGTGAAAGTAAGATCAGTTAAGAAGTGAAAGATATTGTTCAGGAAGTGTTGAACATTTGCAAAAAGGCTATGAGCTAAACAAAGATTAAGCTATCAAAAGAAACTCACAGTGAGCTAATTTTTACCCTATTTTATGATTATGTTACCCTTTTTCTGGATTATGTTACCCTTTTTCTGAACTCAGTACAATTTTTCTGTTTTTCGATGTGAAGAGAAAAAAACACTCCTGAGATAATCAAATCCAATTGGTATCACGCAATACAACAGAATGATAATGATGCATGTGGGCATTGCTAGTAATGTTAAGAATGATACTTTCACTCATATGTTCTTCAGGCATACTATTATTCTAGTTTCCATTGTACTAATAATGCCAAGGATGATAGAGAAAAAAAGAAGTGTTTTTTAATAGCACTTTCTAAATGAATGTATCCAAATGCAACAGAGTCTTGATTTAATTAAGTAACTTTCCTTGGATTTATGCCACCAAAACAATCTGTCATTTTTTGAAGAAGAAGTCCAGAAAGAATGCAGATCCTAACAATCTCGATTTTTATCGTCCCTAGATCATCCTGATCCCAAACCCAATTTTGAGAACTATACAAAGGACCAAAGGTTGCATTTACATACCTTGGGATGTTCCTCTAAAAATTGGGCCATCCTTAGTGCTGTACTATTCTGATTCTGTACACGAAGATGCAGCGTCTTCATGCCCCGAAGAATCATATATGCGGCATTCTGAAAATATGATCTCATCAGCTGAGTGAAAGGAAATATTTGATTTGTTTCCTTGCAAAGATAAACATGTAAATCTATAGCCAACAGTTCACACAAGTTTGTATCAGTCATTGATGACCGACTACTGCACCAACTCATTCATAACAGGTCAGTCATTAGGGAACCAAATAGTGCTATAGAAGCTGCCATATAAAACTTTCATAAATAACAAAAGAGATAAAAGAAATTTTTTTCCAGGTACTGTTAAATCTTGATGTCTGAAGCCTCACAACTGACTTCTTGTATCTATCAATCAAATACAACTACAGAAATGCAATGGTTATTCACTTACAGGATTGAGAACACCACCAATAACGTGATGATGCAGGCTAATTTTGGAGATAAGTTCCTCTGAACCACTGATGCAACCACCAAGAACCTAAAATGGGTAGTATTTCTACAATTTAATCCGAAAAATAATTACCATGAACACAATTTTATTGCTTCATTTGACTTACATCATTGTGGCCACCAATAAACTTTGTAGCAGAATGCAAAACAAGATCAGCTCCCAGAGTTAATGCCTTCTGATTGACAGGTGATGCAAAAGTACCATCTATGCAAACCAGGACACCTTTGTTGTGGCAAAGTTGTGAAACCAACTCAATATCAACACATCGGAGGAATGGATTAGTTGGAGATTCTGAAAAGAAAAGAGATACCTGAGAAGAAAATACATTTGTTAGCTGCCATGCAATTGGAGAATATGACAAAATATCTAAAATGATGAACATAACAAACGGCAGCATTATTTACTCACATTATTTTGATCCAGTGAAATTTTTAGAGACTCAATGTCAGCAGGATCAATGACAGTGACCTGCATTTCAAGGATAATGAGTAATAAATAACACACAGTGGCAAATAGAGTTTGTCATTTGGGCACATAATTGCATGAAGAAAGATCGTCAACAAACTAGCAGGGACTGTCTTATTTATACATCATTAACCTCATGGCATGAGTATAAATTGAGACAGCTTTCTAGCTATTCAAATAAGATAAAATCAGACTTGAAGATCAATTAGGAAAAGATTATATAGATGATGCAAGGTTTTGAAAACTACCGAAATTCCCATTTTGGGAAGCTCATTTTCGATGAAGATTCTTGTCTTCCTATAACAGTCGGTAGTGATCACAATATGCCCACCAGCAGGAACCAGAGATGACAGCATAGCCACACTGGCATACATGCCAGATGACACAAACAATGTGGATTCAGCTCTTTCCAGGGCACTGCTCCAGCAAAGAAATAGCATCAAGATGCAACACATTCAGCAGTTGATGCCAGATATTCATTATGCATGACCAATACCCACCTCATCTTCTCCTCCAATGCCTGTGTAGTAGGGTTTCCATATCTACCATACTCAAAACTAGCATGCCTCTTTTCCTACAAAAAACCAAGCCAAAATTTTCAAAATTATGACCTCAAAGATCATGAAGAAACCAGAAGAGACATTATTAAGTATTAACACTTTAAAAAAATTGATACAAACCTTGAAATCAATCAGCTCATCCGAGTTGTTAAACCAGTAAGCAGAGGTATTAACAACCGGGGTGGTAATAGCATCTGTGGTTATGCCTCGCCCAAATCTCTCACCTAACAAAGTACCATGACAAGAATATATTTATAACAAAACATGCAAGACCTCCAAATTCCAGTTGAAAAATTATTTTGACAGACGCAGCAGATTAGAAAATTGAACATGTAGACAATCTATAACAATTTGGAGTAGTCTCCATTGATGTTTCTTCTTGAGAAAAGACCAGCTTATTAGTGTTAAGATTTATATTTTTCGGGTGAAAACCTAAAGTAGCTAATTGGAGATGTAGAGAATGTCAATAAATATGGGAGTAGGTGTCTGTGAATGACAAAAATAGCTTTTTTAGTCCCAAAATCAAACATTTAATTTGAGCAAAAACCTAATCTTTAGTTTTAACATCAAGATCTTAAATCATGAGAGGAAAAGAATAAAATGCAACATCAAAGAGTAAACGAGATAGATCAGTCACCAGCATGAACCGCGAGACTCCCGTCGGAGCTTAGCGACGCTGCAGCCTTTGCAACGGCGGCGGAAACCTTCGCTTCCCCCACCGGCGACTCTACAAACCTACTCTCAGACCCACCACCGGCACCGAGGTTGGCGTCCTCCGCCGCGACCTCGGGAGCCACAACGGCGTCCGCGGAGACCGCGGACCGTGGGGCCTCGAAAGACTGCGAGCTGTTCGACCACGAAGCCGCCACGATCTGCGCAACACCGATGTTGCTGCAGTTCCGACGCGCCTTGGTGCTCAGCTGGCGCACGAAGTTAGGGGGGAACCGCAGGATCGTAGCGGAAGAGAGGCCGGAGAAGCGAGGTGCGCCGCCGAGGAGAAAGGAGGAGGAGCCCAGCTTCTCGGGGCGAGGATGGGCACCGGAGTCGGAAGTACGGCGGTCTCCGGCGGCGGCGGAGACGAAGTAAGCCGGGTAAATGGTGGAGGAGACGGCCATTGATGTCGGCGGGCTTCCAACCCAACTCTCCTTCCGAAGCAAGAGAAATGGAAACCCCAACGCCGTGTCTTATCCTCGCTCGTGGAGTTATAATCTGACCATGTCTTCCTACCACGACTTAGGGTTCGACAGGATCACTGAATGAAGCGCACGCCCTGAGATCATATTGAAAGGTGAATCGTAGGTTGTGTCGTGTCGTGGAAGAAGAAGTTGTCGTTTATAAGAAGGAACGTAAGCCGAAAGAAAGCGTTGAATGGGTCCCACCTGTGGTCGGGTACTTGGTTGGCCAATGGAAGAACGGGTGGCCGTGGCTGGGTGGGCTCCGCGGTGGGTTTTGGGTGAGGCGAAGTGAGATTGCTTTCTGGGCTTTGGCGTGTTGACGCGGGCGAGATATACCTCCCCTCTGTGACAGAAAACAAACGTGTGGGGCCCACATGTCGACATGTAGTGGGCGGGGAGAGAGACAGATGTGGGTGACAAACGTTGGATGGGGTCAGAAAAAAAAGTGGAGATAGAGAGTCAAAAGTGGCGTGAGCTGTGCCGCACGCGTGACGCGGGAATCCGACGAAATATCCCACCGACTACAGGGTGGGAGTTCGGATCGAGTTTTGTAGGAAACCCGATCCGCTTTTTATTGTTTTTTGGCCGCAACACGTCATAAAAACTCACAAGGTGAATAAGATACAAGATTCGTTCGATCTATATTTAAATTAAATGGAGATTATATATATATATATATATATATATATATATATATATATATATATATATATGGGTTTCGATTGTACATTAGGTGAGTGAATGGTGGATACAATTTGGATTGGATGTGAAGATTCGTACCCGACCCGATAATTTTAATGAAGATGTTGTCCATTAGAATTGCACATGTTGCATGATTGGCTTCTTATGGAACAATAAAATATGTTTGAATTCATTAATGACCGATGACGGTGGAAGAGTCATTTTGCACTCGAAGACTGTCGAGGTCTAATACAAATAGTTACACACAGTAAAACTTACTTTTATCTTATTGCATTTTCTTTTTATGTAAATGAGAAAACAAAAACAACACTGGCGGACTTGCCCTAGTTTTAACAGATTCAAACACACTTGGAATCTCTTATAACACTTTTCTTCCCGGAGTCGTCGCAGCCCACATTTTCTATCAGTATAACTGACAAGTCTAAAATAATAGCAATTAACACATTTTCTCTGACAGTGCAATCTAACATGACAATCTTGCACGTGAAATCACCGAGTAAGCTTCATATCCAGCTCCCCAATAGGCTTTGTTTGGTGACAAAACCGTGCGTCCATAATTTGGATAGATTCTCCATGTCTGGCTTCTGATGAAGACAACATCCAACTCTAATCACCAAGAGCCGTTGGCCATACTGTAGATACAGAACGATGGATGTCAGACCCAGTTAGTGACATCCACCAACCATATCAAATCATGGCAATTGAATCAGTCAAACCAAACAGTGGTAGAAACAAGAACAAGATAAGATTGCCACGTCTTACTCTTTGTGGCATATCTGGGTAGGTTGGATCATCACATATACTTAAAAACCAGCTGTTGTCTTCATGCCCTTACGTTCATCCATCAACAAGTCCACCTGATCTTTTTGAACTTTCAATAAGAAAACACAAGATATATATTAAAGAATGAAGTAGCGCATTTAAGAAGTGACAAGAGGCAACCCACAACTTGATACTCGGTATAAAAAAAACTTGCACCTGAAAACATCTCTTTCAAAAACAGTGGCATCAGTCTGTTGTTTGATGCTCTGTGCCCAACCTGGAAGAGGAATTTGCTGCTTGTTTTGAAGCAAGGATCCTTGTTATGATCTATAATCTTTAGTCACTGAGCTCAGGTGAGAACGATATGCTTAGTGATCTATAAACTGAAGTTGATCTATTCCAAGATGACTCACACTTAGAAATGCACTGAAAATGAATAACAATGAAAAGGAATAACAGAGCGGTTCATTGACAAAATCATATCTCATTATGTGAGGGATGATAAAAAGGCTGTGTACCTCCGAACTGCATCTGTCTTTAATCAGAAGGTTGGTGGTTCCACTTAGGAAGTTGTAATTCATTGCTTCAATTCACTCTGCCCTTGATTCCACCTCAAATATCATGAAATAGCCCAGAGCTAAGTTCATCGAGCCATTTCCATGTAATTTGGGATATAGATAAGTGCCTCCAGGACACATGGGTGTCATTTGACAAGCAGCAAGAACTTTAATCACCTGTAAAAATTGAAATTTGTACCGTATGCATCTGAAAATACAGCATTACATTCCTTGGAAGCATGAAAAGATGATTTTCAGGTTGTTTCACAAACTAGAACCCGATGAAATCCCATATCTAGATAGGACAACAGCTGCAATGCTGCAGCTGATAAAATAAAACCAGCAGCAAAGAAAACAAAGACAAGAAGATCATCCTTTAGCAAGATTAGTGTTATCACTAGTATGAATTTCTTTCATGAGCTTGAAGCACCACTGTCACCACTGCAGCAGTAGTGTGGCAACTTAACGCAACCACAACTCCTGCAAGGTTATATAAAGTGACGATTTTCTCATTCAGAACCAGGTGTCAGCAGAAGCAAACAAAAAAACAAACGACTGACATGTTCCGAGCCCTATGCAGCAAAGATCTAAACAAGATAAGACATTATCCAGCAATGATCAGATACAAGGTAGACATAAGATAGCTTCTGCTTTTCTAACTTTTGAAAGTCAGTTCCACCTTTTAATATAACTAAAACAGTGTTAAAGAGCAAATTGTGAAATCCCAGGGGGTGGGGATTTATAAATGGAACTCTTTCCAAGGGCTCGGTGTATATCTCCTGTAACAATTTCTTGATGATATACCTTTTTTTTCACTTTGGAAAGTTGAGTTCGAAAGTATCATGGACCACCAAATGTATCCAGATCCCGAGCATACACTACACAGGCAAGCAGCATGCATCATATCCTACAGGCTTGGCAGTAATCATGTACATATATGGATTCATATTTCATCATATCTATCTATATAATCATGTCCAAAATAAGTCAAAACTCCCAACAATCACTGTTTTTGCAGAACAAGCATCAACTTGTCACATACAACGGCTTCTGTTTGAAGCACAATCATAAGTTTTAATCTCAAGAAAAAAGAATATACTGTTCTGGGGTTTAGTGCTTGGTCGTTGTAGAATAAAAAAGATATTTTAGATCCAATCTGTTAACAATGTTGTCATCCTTCAGCTACTAACTTTGTGATACTTAGCATTCAGCAGAATTGGAAAAACTCTATTCGTCCTGCATTTTAGTAAACATTCTAAATCTAAGCGAAGAGGTGATACAGTGTACAGCAGTAGCACATACTATCTTACTGGCTTGTTGTTGCTAGATAACCCATGCAATCAAACACAGTCTTCCCACTCATTTCTCACAATGATAACTGACTCCAATTGTGACCAGTTATTCTAGTTGTTTTGTACATCTTTTTTTTTTTCTGGAAGAGGAAACTGGTCACCAAACTATTTGCCATGATTATGTGGCTCATTTTACAATCCATTGAAAAGACATTCATTTAAAATAGACACTTTGTGAATAATAGGATGAAAGATTTTATACAGTTGATGAACTTTTAACGTGGAATTGAAATTTATCTTAGCCATTGCATGCTTTCACTTCTTTAACTACAGGCCTGACGTATTGCAACAATATTGATAATTTGGTCAATTTTAAACCGCTTCATGATGGACTACTATCTTTTAATTCTAACATCAAACAGAATAAATAGAGGAGTTCTAAGTTGGAATGCTGGTGAAAATTAGCTGGAATAATCCAAAATTGTAAACATGAATGTCCTCCACACATAAAAAAGGTGCATAATTTATGGGTAAATGTTATTCCAGTAAATTCTATCAATCACAAAGTTGCAAGTTGCAACAAAAATTTAATGGCGAGATTTGCCAAAAACAGACCTACAACATAGAGAAAGAAATCTTACTTGCAATGGACAATCGCTGGAACAGGTTTTCGAGCCTTGGGTCCATTCCGCAGACCTTTCTTATGCCGACACCTATATTGCAAACATCATCCTAAATATCACTGGGCGACCTCATAGAAAAATACCGTTACATGCTGATGCATAAAACAGTAAGTTGGAGCACATGTGCACAGAGGAAACTGTCAAGAATATGACACAGATAAAGACCAAGAGCATGAATCAGAAAAGAAAAAGTAGATGCTGATGGTAAGCAAACTGAAAAACCAAACTTTAAAAAGCAGTACAACAAAAACAAGGCAAATCTTTTGAGAAACCAATAGTCCACAGAAAAGTAAAAGAGAATGTACTGAGTTTAGGATGATTCTTAAAGACAAAACTTTCCATAACTCATAGTAACTATTAAGTTCAATTATTCTGAACAGGGAAGATAAGCCAGCACTAAACACAGATTGATGGAAGTCAAAGCATAATAATATGTGAGGCACAATTGAATCTCAAGCTATATAAAGCAAACCATCAAACAGCTTCTGGGCATGTACTGAAGGGGTCCAATTGGAGTCATTCCAGTCTCTACGTCAAACCACAAAGACATGCAAAAAAAGAACTGACGGAAACTGAAAGAGAACACAGAGACTTCTTCCAACGATACAAGATCCAGAACCCAAAATTTCGAAGGAAAGAAACTAACTTTACAGCATTCAACCACATTAGTCGACTTCAAAGATCATATAAGATCAAGAAAGAGACGGGGTGAGGGTGCGGTGCACCTTTTTCTTGGGAACGGCCATGAGCTCCATGTAGGCACCGAAGGAGAGGCTAGGGATGGAGGAGGGCACAGCGGAGGAGCAGCGAACGAAGGGATTCTCTAGGGAGATGGAAGGAAGGAGAGGGATGGGGAAACGAGCGAGATGCGAGGAAGCCTGACGAAACAAGAGCGCCCCAGTTCGAAGAACAAATATATATAACGATAGCAGCTAGCAATTCGAAGAACTAACCATCACTTAATTGTCAGCACATCCACCGTCCGACAACGACGGCTGATATGTAACGATGTAGAATATATATAATCATTGTAATGAAACATTCTAATTTACTGTTAATCAAAAACATAGTAGTGCTAAGTGCAAAGATGAACAAATAAGAAACCCTTTCTCTAAAATTTGGATGTTTCTTGGAAAATAACCAAAAATTGGGATTGGGATGTGGGAATTTCTATAATGATCTGTAGCAATTCACCTTTCAAGGCACCCATTCATGGAGTATAAGCCACTTATACGAAAACCGCAAAGAAAATAAATGGAAATATCAATTTCCATTAGTAAGAAGATAAATGAATCCTACCTGCAATTGGTTATCGGCTAAACACTTGTAATAAGGCAGAAAGACTCCAACCATGGAGCCTTCACATGTTTAAGCTGCTAGAAAAGTTCATATTCTTTAACATCTCCCCTCAGGTACAAATCAATCTAGTCTTAAGACCAGATAACACTTGCTGCACAAAACACCTCTTCGAAATCCTCCAACAGGGCTCTTTTTGCTCTTGAAAAGTCAATTTATGGGTGCTGCACAAGTAAAAATCAAATTTTAAATGAGATTAGCAGGTAGTCAAATGCTGATTACAACAATTGAAAAGAGGTGGTCATTCACCTATCTTTTTCAGAATTTCTTGCTTCTACTTATCGTCACTTGTTGGAAGACCCATGGCTTTCTGCCACTGCTCAAACTGCAATGAAGAAAAAGAAACAGTCAAACTAGCACAGGACAAAAGATAGGCGTAGCCTCTTCGAATTGTTCTAGCAAACCTAATAAGTACATTGCTGCATTACAATTTCACAGATGGATCATGGCATATAAGTTCTATTACGCCGATTTGAGATTTATGCGAAACAGATATAACTCGGTGTCCAAACACAATAACGATCCAAAAGGAGTGAACCAAGGAAAACAAATCTCCACAAAAGCATAATTACCCAGAAGTGTTCGATTTTATTGAAGGAACAAGAGTTTACCATCATTTTCTGTAAAATCTGCCAAGTTTCACGATCCAGATCAGATAAATTGCTATATTCAGGTTCTACTTTTTAGTGTCTCAATTTCAGGGTCACCCTTTACCACACACTTCCACCATTCCATCTGATTTTGCTTGGTCAAAAGTATAGAAATGTATTGTCCACCCTATGACAACATCGATTACCAGTAAGTATGAAGAACAGTTGGAAGTTGTTGCATGAAATATATGTAAAGTAGCATAAAGATACCTATGCTCCAGAAGCAATCTTCTGTCTTCACTGGTCGATAAAGATCTCCCCGGAAGAATTACAGAAGAAACATGTGCAAGTATAAGAGGAAGGTGCTTTCACCTCTACAAAGGAAGTTTTTCTATGAGGTGTTGTAATATAAACTTGTGAAACACATAATCCACTATCCAGAGACTTACAGAGATAAATGGAGGTTGTCCCTTTAACCCAACTTTCAAATGGGTCTTCTTTATCTCACGAGTAACAAACCTTGATTATGTTCCCTGAGGAACAGGAATGCTGATGGTAACATCTTGAAATGTCCAAGTCCATGAATACTTATAATAAGTCGAGACCATTTTCAGAGTTTGGCTCTGCATGACAAGGAACGATAAAGGGTAATATTTATTCCAAAATGAAAGCTTAAAAAACTCAAATTAGCACTTAATACAAAGGCATAAAAAATTCAATACTGCTACATGTAAGAAAATAACGTATTTTATAACTTATATTTTTCAGACACCATGACGAAAGCTCTTTGACTGTTCTAACCATTATGACAGAAAACCATGCATGTGGTAGTCATGCCTTAAATGAGCAACTGGCATCAATATTTACAGCCCCTTCACTAGCAATTCCAAGAGGTCTTGCATACACATGTGATCCAAATTGAAAGAAAGAAATCAACATGAATTGAACCGATGATGTTTCATTCAAGAACCTCAATGCACAGGGTACCCTGGTAAAAAACTACCAAAGGACATGTTAGCTGGAAAAACCATGCCATTAGCTTCTGCATTATATATTTTTAAGTATATAAACTAAATCTTTTTGCCTTTAATCTAACAAATGTGACTATATTAACAATGCTCGGTTCCAATAATAGCCACCAAACTCTGTATTCATGAAAGAGAATGAAACTTTTAGAATAAGAGGTGTTATCATCAGATATGTTATTCAAATGAAAAGGGGTACAAACAAAAAACTGATGATTCTTGGAGTCATCAGCTGAGAGGAGAAACCAGGTTTGTAATTCATGATTATAATGGTGGTTGTTTTCTGGTTGCAAATTAAGATATAACAGTTCTATCTTGTTTTGTGAAGCTTCTGCAATCAATGTACAAATTACTCGAGAACAAAGGATCAAGGTGAAATTGGATGCTCTAGTCTTCAGTTGATATTCTGAACAAGAGTTATTGACCTCCATGGACATTTTGAACCTAATGAAGGATATTTTTGGCTTCTACATTTTTCTTTTAAATTCAAAATTAACCATGTATTTAGTAGGGGAATTGGATTGTCAATTAGACCAGATAATTCTACTAGGAATATTAGATTAAATCATACAGAAAGGAAACTGACTGCGTGAGATACAATCTTTTGCACCTCGATACACAATGTGTTTTTTGGAAGTGTTATAAACAAGGTATGAAGATGCGAACAACACAATTTACTAGGTCACAAACATTTTGCACTTACCTAAATATGTGTAAAAAAAACTTGTGAAAAAAATAAAAGTTTGAAGATGCCAACTAACTTAGCCAATAAAGACTTTGATGGTTTATTGTAAGGCCCTGAGTTCGAATCCCACCTTCATCACTTACCCTTTGCAAAAAAAAATTGTAGAAGGAAATGGAGTGTATCATTTTGCTCTTACCTAATTCTATTAATAGCTCAATATTTAGAATGTATCATTTGCAATGTCACCACTGCCTTATATACCTTTTCTTGTGTTAAGAAAGTACTTGACAAGCATCTTTAGGAATTAGATTGCAATTTTTCTTTAGCACAAGTGGGCTATAGCTTTCAATTTGAAAAGGAGAAGACCAATAGTAGATGACCAAACTTTGAGCCACCTCCCTATGATGTCTCGACTCTATGTTCTGAGTGTAGTCATCTGTAGAATTTCGTACTTTGCAGTTTTATTACCCGCCATCATCAAGTTAAACAAGCCAGCACAAATAATGCAGGCACCATGAAATATCATCTTTCCTCCATCCAAATTTTCAGAGTAAGCAAGAACCACTTGTTTGCCCTTCACAAAAGTCCCTAGTCCCCGTAAGCCTTTCTTGATAGAAATAATAGAAGATAAGAACAATAATTGAAGAAGCTTTATTGTAGAAATGAAATAGCTTTAGCTTGAATCTATTAACATGTTCCTTCTCCTATTTATACAAATTAGGAGGAAGGATTTCCCTAACAGAATAAACAGAATAGAGAGATTTCCTCATATAATTGGGGAAATCTTATCCTCTATCAAGTTGGGGAAATCTTATCTTCTATCATGCCCCCGCAAGATGGTGCTCCTAACAAGGATACCAATCTTGGATCGATGCAAAGAATGGTTTAAAGCGAGAGGCTTTGTGAGTAAGATAAGTGTAGATCGCTGCTGCTGCTACTGTGATTGCTGTTGCTGTGATGGCACAGGCGTTCCCTTCATTCTCCTTAAGTCTGCCGAATATTGACATATCAGCGAAGACTACCGCGGTGAGGAAGATGAGGATTAACCACGGAGCCTCTTAGGAATGCAACGGCGTTGGTCGCTGGCCGAAGGATGAAGCTTCACTTTTCTCAGCGACGTTGGTCGCTGGCCGAAGGCAAGAGCGAAGCTTCGCTTTTCTCAACGACGTTGGTCGTGGTTGCGATTACGACGGCTGCGACGGTAGAGAAGAAATCTACAGCAATGTTGCAATGATGCTACTACAACAAAGGAAGAAACTGCAACAGAGGAGGAAGCTGTAGCAGAAGAGGAAGCTGTAGCAAAAGAGGAAGGAAAATAGCTACAACGAGGAAGAAAGGTGGGGCAGTGCTGATGAGCAGCACTAGAGATGCCGTAGCGGAAGGGAACGGACGTTGGCGCAGAGTGGCAACACCAATGATGAATTGGCAACGAGAAGAGAGCTTGCTCTAGGCAAGCGGCTCTGATACCATGATAGAAATAATAGAAGATAAGAACAATAATTGAAGAAGCTTTATTGTAGAAATGAAATAGCTTTAGCTTGAATCTATTAACATGTTCCTTCTCCTATTTATACAAATTAGGAGGAAGGATTTCCCTAACAGAATAAACAGAATAGAGAGATTTCCTCATATAATTGGGGAAATCTTATCCTCTATCAAGTTGGGGAAATCATATGTAGTCATCTGTAGAATTTCGTACTTTGCAGTTTTATTACCCGCCATCATCAAGTTAAACAAGCCAGCACAAATAATGCAGGCACCATGAAATATCATCTTTCCTCCATCCAAATTTTCAGAGTAAGCAAGAACCACTTGTTTGCCCTTCACAAAAGTCCCTAGTCCCCGTAAGCCTTTCTTTTCTCCTATTTACTAATGGTTTATGAGCAAGAAGGTAAGCAAACACCTCTATGTAAACACAAATGGAATCAAATAAATATGGATTCCGATTAAAGTCTATTTGCACCTTCAACAATCCCAACCAGTCATAATATTTTCCTTACCTAGTTATTTCCAAGAACCAAGCCGTATTTACCGCGACTCATGGTAGATGAGAAAGTAGGTTTATCACGAGACGAGGTTCAAGGCCACAGATATAAGGGAATCAAAAACAAGCAGAGAGCTTACTCTGCTCGGCCTTGTTCGCCGCCTTGTCTGATGACTTAGATCGTTGGGCGGCGCGTCCGACTCTGTCCTCTGGGCCGGATCCTTGACCCACTTCTCGGCGTTGGCAGCCTCGAGGAAGGGCATCGGGCTCTTCTTGGCGAGAACCGAGGCCAAAGACTCCTCGTCGGGATCGACCTCCGGGGCGGCGATTGGAGAGGAAGAGGAGGAGGAGAAAGAGGTGTACTGCTGCTCCTGGGCTTCTTCGGAGATCTCGGCCATGGCGGCGTGCACTTCGAGCCGAGGGAGAGAGCAAGAAACCAGAGCGGGACTAACGGAAAGGTGTGTGAGGCTTATATGTTGGAGAAGTTGGGTTGAGAGGGAAAAGAAGCCTAGAAACTTCCCCGACTTGAATGCAATCCTGAATTATACGTTCATCGAATACCCGCGCAACCTACCTTAACTGTGAGTGGCCATGCTTGTGGGGCTTTTGCTGCCTTGGTGACACCGGTATTAAATTTTCGGATTCGGATCATATGAATGGATCGGGTATCTTTCTGCATCCGATTTCATATTGGATCTAAGTTGGGCTCAGTATTGGACGTGCCCTATCGAAGGTGGAGTCCTCCTTGCGCCGCTGTCCCTCTGCATCTCTGCGTTCCCTGAAGAACCCTCAGGTGATGATCTCAACGCTTCCCTCTTCTGCGATCGCTGATCATTTGAGCGAGACGAGAGATCTTTAGTGATATTGATTACATTTTCTTTATCACGGTGGTAAATGTTTGTGTTTATGCCTGTACGTAATTATGCTTGCACGCTTGATGTTTGTGTTTATGCCTCTAAGAATTGGTAGTTGGTCGCCGGTCTCTCTCGAGGCAATAGCAGGCAGATTGCATATAGTGGGAAGCCGGAAAAGATGTCGTACATGCGAGGAGACCTCCTCTCCAAGACGAGGAAGTTGGTGAAGGGCCTCGCCAAGCCCACCCCGGTGTGGCTCAAACCCATGGAAGAGTACGCCCCTCTCTCCTTCCTGTTACAAACCTAATTGATGCAGTTTGTTGGACTAGGACAATCTGTTCGACCCTTTTAGAGAGTGTCTCTGTGTCCCTGATCGTAGAAAGCAGATTGATCTCTGGAATTGGTTGTGCAGGGCGCCACCGGTGACGTTCCCACGGACGGACGGGAAGATCAAGAAGATCGAGCTGCCCGAGGATGTTTACATAAAGAGGTTCTTTAAGAAATATCCGGATTCTCTCTACCATGATGCTATCAAGTAATCACTTTGCTCTCTCTTACTCTCCTATTCCTTGTGCTAAGATATCCTATTCATTTATTGTCTGATTCTTTTGATTAATTTACCTCTGATTCCATCATAGGGGGCTTTCCTTTTAGGCAATATAAGTGTTTGGAATGAAAAGGCAACATTTTTGTGCTTGCAGTGGTAACATTGATACCTTCAGTTTTGTTCTTGTGGTCAATGACCAAATCTTGTTTGTAGGTAGTCTTGCTATAGTTATTTGTCTATTACTTCCGGTGTAGAGTTCAAAAGGTCAACAGCTATTGCATTATTTTTTGTCACTGCTGCTTGTGTGGAGATGAGTTAATTTTGATAAAGAATCAACTCAAGTAAACAGATGAAGCATTTGAGCTATCAGTTTTCCAGATGGGGCTGTAGTAAATGTAATGAAAGTGCAGATGCTAATGTGGTTCTCTAATTTCAACAGGATAAGTGGTTTTGATCCTCCTCCAGCACGAGTTTTTGCTTGGCGTGTTCTGGAGCTGAAGGATCAAGGTGTTGATGAAGAGGAAGCCATGGCTGTAGCTGATGTATATTCTCACTCAGTGCGACATTGATTGGTTTCAGTAGCACGTCAGAAGATTTAGAACATCGTCTAACAAAAGTTTCTTGGTTTCTAGTGCTCAGCTTCTTGACATATTGATTGTGCTACTGAATATCTAATTAGTAATTTTTAGTAACTTGTTCCTTGATTTTTCATTAGATGGAATATCGAGCTGAGAAGAAAGCAAAGAAGAAGGCATACTCTGAGCTGAAGCAAATTGCACGTCTGCAAGGGAAGAAGCCACCTCCAAATCCCTACCCAAGTGCCATTAAAGAAATACAAGCAGAGGAGAAGAAACTTGTCCGGGATCGTTTCTTCAATCCAAAGATACTTGAGATTGTGCAAAAGATGAAAGCAGAAATGGCTGCAGAGAGGGAAGAGAAACAAAGAGAAGCCGGCACTGGAGGGGCTGGTGGCAGTGGCCAGCGTGGTGGATGGAATGGTGGTCAGCGTGGTGGATGGAATGGTGGCCAGCGTCGGTAATTGCGATCCATTAGATACTGAATTGTTATTTGCTTATTGTTACTTTGCTACAGAAGTTGCCGTCTCCATTTGTTTGCTGTGAGTTGCAATAATAGAATATTATGGAACTTTGATACATGTCTTTTGCTTTCTTAAATTTGCTATTCAATCACCTGAAGAAAGATAATGGATCTTTTCATGGATCATTCAATCAGCCTTCTCCATTTGTTTGCTCTGAGATGCAATAATAGAATATTATGGAACTTTGATTCATGTCTTTTGCTTTCTTAAATTTGCTATTCAATCACCTGAAGAAAGATAATGGATCTTTTCATAGATCATTCAATCATGTGACTTGTATATATATTCTCATGCTGTGATTGGATGGTTTATGAAAAGATAAAAGGGGTGGAGTCACTGAAATGGATCTCAAACACAGATAGGATGATCCAATTAGGTTTGTTTCAAGCATCAAAATTGTGCCAATTGCCACAACTCATTGAACAAAAGATAGACTGCTTGGTCAAGTTCCAGCATTACAAACATACAGAGACAGATTGGTTGCTAAATCTGATATATGACCAGCTCTCTCATTGCCAGAGCTTCCAAATTAAATCAACACACAGAGGTTTAAGGCAACTCTAAAGGGTCAGAAGTCGCGCCTAGCCCTTGGTTCTGCCACTGTAACGCGTATTGATCTTCCATTCAAGTCCTGCACAGAGAAAGGGTGTATCAGCAGTAGTCCGATATAGCATTGATCAACTAAGCAGAGAAAATTTCGGGTTAGCGCACAAGATTTATGGTAGGATTAAGTCAAGGACGACTTGGCTTAATGAGCTACAAGCTTCATGGAGCAGGTTTGCCGACATTGCAAGGTTACTACGCCCAAAATATTGTTAATAGGGCACTCAAGTTGTACCAGCTGATGATGTCCATCATTATTTTGTCATGTAGGACTACTTGGTGTCATTCAGGAAGTATGATCATCAACCCTTGCAAATGGAAAACGATGACCGACTAAAGAAACTGTGTATATGATCCTCAACCCATGGGAATGGAAAACGTTGACCGACTAAAGAATCTGTGTACACTAAAACATGATCCTTAACATTTGGGTCTCCACAAGGAACTGGGTAGACTAAAGAAAGATAAAAGAATATGTTCCTTTTGAGCTGCTTGTCTGCAACATATGTATACAAAACAAAGAACAAATAGTCCTAATAGAAGCACAAGCAAGCAGACAGATATCCAACACAAGAATTTTCTTGCGAGGCAATGAAGATAGGGAAAAGAGACTTACAGTGCCATTAAGTGATGCTATAGCATTATCAACTTCCTCAGCGGAGCTGTAAGTGACAAAGCCGAAGCCTCTTGATCTACCACTCTCCCTATCATAAACGACTTTGGCCTCTAAGACCTTGCCTTGTTCACTGAAAAGTGTCTCGAGAGCCAAATTGTCGACGCCCCACGAGAGATTTCCTACATAGACCTTGTTTGCAGCTTCAAGGTTGCTAACAGTTCGAAATCCTTTAGATGGAAACTCCTCTCTTCGTGGAGGTGGTCCTGAGTTCACCCTCAACGATCTCCCTTCAAGTGTCTGTTGGATCACAGAACCATATTATGACAAAAATATCCACTTAATCTGTGCCAGTTTTTCATGGCAGGCACAGAGCAAAACCTAACTAAAGCACTAAGTGATGAATAATAAGCACCGAGACCTGAACTAAGTAAAGCAGTGAAATAAGTACAGCATGCACTCAATTTTTCGTGTCATTTGTCTGATAAGTGCATTGGTCATGAGTCGATCTCTATACAACCTGACAAGGGCTTGAACATGAGTTGCAAAAGACCCAACAACTAACTAAGAAGAGAGAAAAAAAAAAATTTATGAGAGGTCTTTGGTAGATAGGGCATAAAAGATCATATGCTAGCTTGTGAAAGAGCATTGTCTCCGTTGTATATTAAAGATTTAAAGGTAAATTAAATATCACTTTTTGGTTCTCCTAAGATCAGCCATTAAAGAACCAAAAAGGAGAAAATAAAGTTGAAGATGAAATGTAGTCTCAGCTACAAACTTAACAACAGTTTAAAAGCCAGTAAATGATGTGTGGATCAGGATCGGACTACGTTATTGATCAAACTTATTTAATTACTAAGTACCTATAATTTTTTGGGGTTTTTGGGAGTTCATGTTACATTATAACTTATCACTTTTTGTTGGTTCAAGTTGGGTCTTCATCCAGCTCACAACACTGCTACTAGCAAAAATAGAGGGCAACAACTCAACTAGCAACGGAACAAAGCATCATATGCATCATATAACTTAAGTCTGCCATGGGGGGTTACTTGGAACACATTTATGTATGTACAGGTTAAGACTGATATCATAGTTAAGCATGCACAGAGTGACTTACATAACCATTAAACTGCTTAATAGCTGCTTCAACCTCGTTGATGGTAGACATTGTCACAAATCCAAATCCTCTACTTTTTCCGGTTAGCTTGTCATATATAACCTGCAAATTAGAACCATCAAAATTGCATCTTTACAAAAAAAAAATTATGTTCAAGAATGTACAAAGAAAACAAAAGATAAAGAGAAAATAAGCAGAAAAAAATGTCAGAAGCACTACAAAACTATTCAAGCAGTCACAACCACCAGACAATAAAAAGCAGCAGCAAGAAGATGTCAAGCAATTACAGATTCTACCAGGGGAGATAAGCTATATACCAAGTACAACACATTTAACCTGGCTTAGTCATACCTCGACCATCTCAACATTGCCGGCCCGTTGAAAGAGGCCAGCGAGTTGGGCACTGTCGACGCTGAAGGGGAGGTTCCCGACGAAGAGCTTCAATTCCGGCGAGTATTCCGCCTCCTCCTCTTGCTCCACATTCGACGAGAGCGCCACCTTGAGAACCATCGCCGAATCCAAAGCTGGCGCCTTTCTTAAGACGGGGAACGAGTTATTTGAGGGAAAAGAGACACTCTTGAAAGGAGAGCAGGGTTTGGAGGAGCATAGCGAGAGGGAGGAGAGAGCAAGAGCTCCGGGCTGGGGCTTGGAGGAAGAGATGGTGGGGATTTGGGAGAAGAGGGAAGGGAGGAAGAAAGAAGACGCCGCCATGGATAAGGTGGGGAATGAGGGCGAAGAGGAGAGTCGAAGGGTATTCGCATATATAGGAAGATATTTACAATTTTGTCCACTAGATATTTATCAGGTATTTTAAGAGGAAGATATAGCTGTGGTCCGTTCATGAACAGCTAAAATATTATCCGATTAATGTAATTTCATTTATGCAAATGAATGTTAAAATTGATTGATGATTAGTTGATTGAAGACTTCATGCATTTTGTTGGGAGGATTCTTTGATCAAAGAGTTAACATGATCTAATTCAACTTCAAAGGTGTATAAATTCATTCTCGGAGACTCATACCGCGACGAGAGTGGTATCCGAGCAAGCAATCAAGGTTGTATGGGGGCTCCTTAAAGTGTTTGCGGTTGATTTTTAATTGTCTCGAGGAGCGACTTATATATTGAGAGAGGTTTGAGATCATCTTGAGATATGCCTTGGCCTTTTTAAAAGTATGTAATATTACTCCACGGTGTTTTTTAGACATGTCTAGGACCTGCATAGGTGGTTGATGTGAGGAGAATATCCTAACATGATCCTCACTCAAATCAGTAAAGTAGGGGAAGAGGGTTTAGTAAAACTAAAAAGAGTTAAGATTGAGCCTACTTGCCCCCTGTCTAGTTTCGAGGGTTAGCTTTTATACCTAATTCGTCGATGAATGGTGGTCGATCGCTCATCCTCCCTGGAGCCCTTCGCATCGTTAGGAATTCATTTATGTCGATGGCCAGTGAACATGTCTTCCTAGCGGTTGCATCAGGGAAAGACGATTGGGGGCGTGTCATCTATTAGGGTAGGAGCATGCTTGAAACGGATAATAGATGAGGCTCGACGTCAGGTGTCTCGAGAGAGACATAGGTCACGCTGTCTAAGATTAATACTCCCTACAATTATGTGTGCAATCCTTTCTAAAATTATGACTAAGAGCAATGGGTTGTTGATGACCAGCGATGCAATCGAGGGGGGAGCCGAGAGGGCAAGCTCAATCGTCGTGTATCGATAGTCGACCCGTACGACTTTCTCGAAGTTAAAGCTTCGGTCGATGATCACGTGAGGGGGCAGTGGGAGCTCTCGTGTGTGCATCTCGACCAAGTGGCAGCCCACTGGGCAAGACATCGTTGCAATGCTTGTGTTGCTTTCTCAATCAGTTTTTAAAACGAATTTATAGGTAACAATTTGTAAACTTTGTTTTAAGCATACTCACAAACATCCCATACACACAATTATATACTCGGAGTTCCCTTTGTAAAGATATGAATAGCATTCTTTAGTCAAATGTAGTCAACACACAAAGATTTACTACAATCACATATGCTAAACTTAAATTCACATGAATAAATACAAATTATATATATATATATATATATAATTGTAATGATTGCACGTTAGTGACGAGCCGGCAGTATGCGTGACTCAACTCGGACCCTTTTTGTTGCCTTCGGCCCAGAACCACTATAGCTCGAATAAAAAGGGCCGAATAAGTTAATACCCGTTAAAGGAAGGCCCATTTTCAGCCCATATAACCCAACTCAGAACGCAGGAGGCTCCGCAGCGGCACCGGACGAGGGTGCGGCCGCACTCGAGGAAATCGACGTCGTCCGGATCGAGCACTCTGGCGGCGCCACCGCCGCGGCGAACGGTGGCGCTGATGCAGGTTGCCGACCGGTGACGTCGCTGCCCGGGCTACGCATGGCCGTCGGTGCAGGAGCTGCCGCCGCCGTCGCTGCTGCTTGTCTGTACCCTAAAAAGAGTGCGGTTGCATCGATGACGAGCTCCATGGGCAAGGGTATACTAAAGATTCAATCTTTATCTAGTTTCACCTTTCTAGTCAGTGCTGCGAAACCTGCAATGCACTGCTTGAAACACTGCAATGCCTCACGCCACTTGGTGAGTACTTGATGATCACAGAAGGCCTCTTCTTGCGGTAGAAGATTGAGACAAAATTGACCTTCTTGTTCTTCGGGAGAGTCACATAAGATCCACAAGACCAAGGAATAGGTACACTGCCAACCTTCCTAGTTCAACTCAGTAGGTGTTTAGGTACATGCCTTTGTCAAACTCCAACACCTAAAGATGACCATAAGACACTGCCATTCTATCATGTTAATTGATACTTCCTAAATCTTAGGAAAGGACATGACTTCATTCTAATATTTCATGCATCGAAGAAAACGAGAACCTGTGTTTGGCGATTATCTATTGCCTGTGATCCAACTCTGTAAATTGCTGAAACAAAAGTTCAATCTACATCAAGTTGGTAACTATGGGTTGATTACAGCAGATTGAATATTGTTGGTAAATGACTTGGGGAACCCATCTCCTTTTCTCTACTACAACTTGGTTTGAATTCTTGGGCAGGTCCATGAAAACAAATCCTTAAAACAGTGGAAAGAGTGGAGTCGAAGATACCCAAGATTGTGGTGGAGTACCAAAGCTGAGATCATGAGCAGGGAGAACAAAAATATCCATGGATGAATGGAAAGGAAAAGTGCAGCAAAAGGAGTGGTGGTTGGAGAATGGCATTGATTTAAAGGGATTATAATAGGAGTGTCGGTTATGGACAGTTGAAAGTGCTACATGTGTCCAACCTTCCACAGTATAATGCTTTGGGAGGTCAAAGGTTGCAACTGAGTCAGCAATGGCTCCCGACATCCATCAGTATTAGGTTTGATAACTGCAAGTGCACGAGAACCTGATCTCAGAATTCAGATTTGCTTCTTATTTTTGTCTCCAATGTAGCATCTGGTACCAGTGGATTGGATTTGTGCCAGAGCTCAGCAGCCAAATTCCAAGGAATTAAGCTGCTGCTACTCTTGTTCTGAGAAGAGGGAGGAAAATTATTGTAGTGAGTTGGAGTTTGAATGTAATTATGATGCTGTGTCACCCCCAATTCGTGTGCTTCATGACCCAATCTCTTTCTTGTACTGAAGCTGAAGCTTTGTGAGATTACAGAGTCATAAATTTTCTGCTACCTGTAATCCAAGATGAAATGTTAAAGGTAGCATTTTCAACAAATAGCTCTGCAGAAGGGGAAGAACAGAATTGAGGAACCAATTGATCATACAAAAAGTTGCCACTTTGGTGATATGAAAGGACTAATTAGCTGAACACCAAACTGTGTTTTGCCTGAGAGGTTCTTTCTTTCATTTTCTTGTATGATCAGAAAAGAATATTCTTTGAGTGTCATGAACTTTAGTAAATCTGGAAGTGCCATCCTGGTCTGATTCAGCAAAAGATATGGGATGATTAGCCTACTAATATTCCTGTTGAAAAGGCATAGGGCTTCACACACACAAACATGTGACTCTCAACACAGCAACTCTGCATACACTGTCCTTTAAGCAATATGTCTTCTTCTTTTGTGGGGAGTGGTGATTTCTCACCAATTAAATGTACCTTCAAAACCACAAGATTTCAATTCCATCACCAACTTCCTGTCCAGAGATGTTAGTTGGAAACCTGCCACTCTCATTTAACTGTCCTGCTTAAGCCTTCACAGTTATGTGTCAGTCGATTGGAAGGTTGAAAAGGCAGGCGATCATCTATTTATGCCTCCATCAGCTGCCTCCTCGAGCAAACCAGAGCTTCTGCTTCCTCTCTTCCCTTACTCTTTGTCTCCTCCTTCCAAGTAAGGAGAATGACTTCTCTTGGTCTGGTTCTGGTTGCCTTTCACTCGGTGTTCTCTGCTGCATACGGGTATGGACACGGAGGGGGATGGTCTGCTGCTCATGCTACCTTCTATGGAGGAAGTGATGCGTCTGGGACAATGGGTGAGTGAGTTCACAGAAGACACCGTCGTCCATTCGTCATGCAAGAGTAGGCGGCCATTGATGCGTTGAACTTGGTGTGCAGGTGGAGCTTGCGGCTACGGCAACCTGTACAGCCAGGGCTACGGCACCAATACCGCAGCCCTGAGCACTGCCCTCTTCGACAACGGGCTCAGCTGCGGCGCCTGCTACGAAATGAAGTGCGTGAATGAGCCGCAGTGGTGCCTGCCGGGCTCCATTTTTGTCACAGCCACCAACTTCTGCCCACCCAACGATGCCCTCCCCAACAACAACGGCGGCTGGTGCAATCCTCCCCTGCGGCACTTTGACCTCTCCCAGCCCGTCTTCCTGCGCATTGCCCGGTACAGGGCTGGCATTGTGCCCGTCGCTTACAGAAGGTTGGTGAGCCAGAATCATACTACTCTCTTTATGATCCATATGATCAAGTCTCATCTTGTTCTTGCTTGGATTGGTTTCGGGGCGCAGGGTCCCGTGCAGTAGAAGGGGAGGAATCAGGTTCACCATCAATGGCCACTCCTACTTCAACCTCGTGCTCATCACCAATGTGGGAGGAGCCGGAGATGTGCATGCTGCGTCCGTCAAGGGGTCCAGCACTGGGTGGCACCCCATGTCCAGGAACTGGGGCCAGAACTGGCAGAGCAACACCTACCTCGATGGCCAGGCGTTGTCCTTTAAGGTCACCACAAGCGATGGCGTGTCTGTGGTCTCCTTCAATGTGGTTCCTGCAACCTGGTCTTTTGGCCAGACCTTCAGTGGTGGCCAGTTTGCTTGATTCCTTTTAACCCTCGCAACAGCATCGGGTTAGTAGGAGCCAGTCGTTGAGTCACCATGGCTGAGGAGTCATGGGTTCGGGTAAGAAGAGCTTGTTTTACTTCGGCTCTTCATAATATCAAGTGATGAGTTCCATCTTGAGAGGCCTTTGGGCTGGTCATGAAGGAGAAGAGCGGGATGGATGCTGCTCTCCCCTTTTGGGCAGCGGTGGAGTCCTACCACCCGCCCAGTTGCAACTGAGTCAAAAGTCCTTTTTTATTTCTTCTTCTTCTTCTTCTTCTTCTTTCTTTCTTTGTGTTTACCTTTTGCTGTTTGTGCTCTTAACTCACTGTTGGGAGCTTAAAAAGAGAGTTCCTCCCAGGAATAATCACTGCAAGTCTTCCTATCTGGTAATGGAGTTCATATTATCTTCTGAGCTCTGAATTTTGCTCTGTGGAATCTTTGCGAGTAATTCATATCAAAAATATGTTTGGTGCATGAACGAAGAGAATAATGATTGGAACATTCCTTTGAATGACTTCTACCTTCGTAAATTGGCTTCCTTTAAATGATTTCTATTTGATGTAAATTCCATAAAATCAGCACTGCAACCCTGACTTCAACTGACACTGGATTCATTGTTCTGCTGCAGTTGTGCCCAAACTTCAGTCAGCTGCAGTGCTCAGATTTAAGAGAAGAAGTTAGTTGGTGAACAGGTAGTTGGGGTGAATTTATTGGAGGGGGATTTACTTCTTCCTCTGGCTTTCCAATTTAATGAAGCAACAACTTTGAAATTGATGTAATATCGAAGAAACAAAGTTCTTAAAGACCAAGATCAGAATCCAGACAATGCTTTCTGCTAGATGCAAGTGCATTTCTAGGCTCTCTTTTTTCCATCATAACACCACAGCAAACATTGGTATCATGAGGTTTCCTCTTTAATGCAAGAACAATAGCTTCAAGCCACCAAACATGGAGTATCTTCAACCCTTAATGAACTCGGCAAGCCAAAATATTTCTATTCTGCTTTGACAAATACAAACAAAAAATGTGATAACCAAAGTAATTATAACCACCTGGTACTTCAATTATTTCTATTCACTTGTAACAAAGACACTGGGAACGCGAAACTTTGAGATCGCTGCTATTTCCCTTCAAATTTATTACATAGAAAAAAAAAATGACAACCTACGTAATCAATGTGAAGACGGATCCGAACTAACAATGCCCCCGACTCCCCATATTACGACGGAATCTCAACTAACAAACTGCCCCTTGAATGTTATATACTTCATTCGAAGTCAGGTTGGCCAGTGGATGTCAGGCATCGGTGCCACATCCTACTGTTCGGGTCTACATACCTGGTAGATGCAATGACCTCTGTAACAGGAAAGTAGACAAAATGTGTATTGCATATACCTGTTGTGATGCCACTGAACCCAGCAAATGCACCATGTACCTACACATTAAGCAACTGCACCTCAGTCCCCAAAAAGAAATTGCCTAACCACTAGCAGCTGACTGATGCAGAGGCCAGAAGAACTTTCAAGCATTCACTAGCCATAAACATAACTTTGTTCTTAAAGATCAACTGGTCATATTTGCAAAGGTCACAACTTGCTGCAATAACTCTTGAAGTGTTTCTAAATATCTCGGATGTGGTTGTTCCTCAGAAGCTTGCAATCTAGATTACACCTAGTTTACAAGAGATATCTCTATGAGAGGTAGAGAAATGCATAAACTTACAGCATTCTGGCCTAGGACAGTGCAGAGGATTGCATCAGACGCATTGGCACGGCAAGCTCGGATCATATAGGTTGGATCAATGTATTTCACATCTGCTGGAATGCCTACATCCTTGAAATGTCTTTTGATCTGTAAAACATGTCATGTTATCCAGAAAAGGCTGCTTAAATATAAGTAAATGCATAAGCTGATCATGTCCTGAACAAGACAGCTCAGATAAGGAAAAATTATGTTGGCCTAAATTTGACATTTGCAGTAGCAATCATTAGATGAAAAATACATGCTTTCTATTAGATGCATGTAACCAACCGCAGCAGTACAATGTTCAAGCTTGAAAGTAGGAAGCATAGCCGTCCCATCTAGAAAAGACTACAACTTATGTCATTTAACTTTGAATTCAAATTAGGATTTCTTGTTATAAATAACGAAGAAACCCTCACACAAATATAATAGACTAAAACTATAAAGTTAAAAACAACTATTCATGAGAAAAGCTAAAATCTAGGGCATGAATCTCTAATTCTCTTCTCTGCACCAACCACACACAAATATGCATCCATACATATTGGCACCTTAATATAAACATGGGTACAACACCAACAAGATGTCATAAGCTTCAATTTTTTGGTTGAACTACATGGATCTTTCCCCACCACTAAATGAAGACTAGGTCTAAATAAGAATCTTCTCTTGCAAAATACTTACAAAGAAAATTCTAAGAGGATATAGTTGCTGGAAAACAAAAGGTTATTTAACTTACACCTCCTATCGTTGTATATTTGCTAAGCTAAAATTAACTACTACTAAAGGTAGAAACAATAGAAATTGATACGAAATGAAAAAGAAAACAAGGTCAAAAGAAGATATGTAATGTTTTCTCTCCATCTAATTATCTCATCCATCACCTTTAGTTTTGACAAACAATGACATGTAAATATACATTCACTTGATCAAGTAACCATATTGGTTATTCGATTCTTTCTAGTTTCATATGCTATGAGTTTTCTACAATAGGAGATGAAAATGTAGATGTAGTTCACATAGATTGCATTAAAAATAATAGGCTACTAAAGATGGAAATTTTTGGTAGAAAACAAATAATTGTTAAATTTTTTATTGGGAAAAAAATATATGATCTTAGATAATATGAACTCACTATAAGATGCATATCTTATACTTTCAAGCATAATAAGGTGAAATCATGGCCAATTACATCAGCTGGAGACACAAAATATGAGCAATTGAAGATGTGAAAACAAATAACCCTTATATCTTTGATGTTGGAAAGACATGTATGATCTTAAACAAGCAACAAACAACAACATAGATGACATTTTCCTGAATAACCATGAAGTAACAGAAGCCTGGGCCATCAAGCAAGTGTTTGGGCAAGTGGCAATTGATGGTCCTCCTATCTCAGCAGCACTAAGCAAGAGAGATCACTTCATGCCACTGCTTGTTCATTTTAGTGTTTTAGCAGATGTGATGTTTAAAACCTTAGCTTTATCTAATTATCAAACTGTGGTACCCCAATCAGTACTTGCAGTAGCCATAAGGTATTGAACATAATACTTTCTACCTCATTTATTCATTCAGCACAAATTTTATTAATGCTTTAGTTAACACATTTAATAGTTGTCCATTTCATAGCAATTTTCCACTTTACTCTCACAGACTGCACAACACATTGTTCCTTTTAGCCAAAGATTAACTAGATGGTTCTGAAAGAAGGAATTAGTTACAATGAACCTGCTGCTGAACATGAACTCCAATATCACTGAGAACCACATTCCCTGATGCATCTGTTGTATTCGACTTCTTTAGGTATTCCTGAACAACAAGAACAGGCTTGTTATTAGATGTGTCTTGAGGAAACTAGTCTTCTACAGCAACAGAAGTAGTAACTTATAGAAGAGTACTCTCTCTAAATCGAAGTACATTCAGTGCCCTTGCATTTCAAGGTGATGTGATCAGGAAGGTATCTGTATATGCACCCAGGAACTCAGTGCACTGGGACTGTGAAACATATCATGAAGTCATGCATTAACTTAATGGTGTTCATGAAACTTAGGATGCATAAAGTTTTGCTTCCAGGCATATCATATATTTCAAATCCAAAATATGATAATATCCTGATATAAGCTGCATAAATATAGAAGAATTCTCTAAATGTATGTACTCAAAAGCACATTATCAAACATAATTCTACATGAGGCTTCAATAAATATCTATAACTTACTTGTCCTGCTCCTTCAGCAACACAAATTACAGCATTTCCCTTTGTTTTCAGCAGATACTCGAGATGCACTAAGACTCCATTTGGCCCCTCCAATTTAAAAGGTGCCTTCATTTGCAGGTGGTTCAGTTAATGGTTGTGACAATAATCTGAGAGACTGCTGTGGATACTACTAACCTCGGGAATCAAACAAATGTCAATTTGACCACTAGAAAGTGATGCATGCATGGCTATAAACCCACTGCTTCTTCCCATCAATTTGACCAATCCAATGCCATGGTAAGCACTACGAGCCTAAGTCACAGCAAAGTAACCAAGTGACAAGGAAAAGTTAGAAGATAGCATGTTTCTTCTCTGAAAGGAGCAAAGACAGTAATATCAGAAATAAGTTCAAATTCTCTGATCAATAATTTGCATATTGGACAATAAATGAACTTCTTACCTCAATATATGCGGAATTGATTGCCCGCTGAGCTTCCTCTACAGCAGTGTCAAAACCAAATGTTTTGTCCATTAGTAGTATGTCATTGTCAATAGTTTTTGCAACACAGACAATTGATACTTTCAATTTTCTCAAGCGGCACTGGCAAAGAAAGGGAACTTATCAACATAAAATTAAACTACAACAGCAACTACAGCTCAGTGTATGAAGCAACATTTACATGATTATCCATAACCTCATAATGATGATAAAGAATAGTAAGGACTTTTACCAGGATGCATGTTGTAAGTGCATAATGCAGCACTTAATTAAATGCATAAGGTCATCTCAATTTACCAAGATAGAATTATGCAATACCTCATTATGTATGGCAAGTGCCCCTGCATGTGTCCCATCTCCGCCCAGTACAAAAAGCATATCAATTCTCTTGGCCTGAGTTGTCCAAAAATCACAAATTAGTACCACAGTTGTCAAATGATGCTGGAGAAAGTAATCAACTAAAACTTAACCCAGCTCATTTGCTGATAAAGAACCCAGATACCTGGATGTTATCAACTATATCACTGGTGCTGGGACCTCCTCGGGATACTCCTAGAAAACTTCCACCAGTGAGGTTAATATTTTGAACCACTTGACGCGAAAGCTGCAAAGGAGAAGGATATTTGTAGAATTCAAAGAAACGTGTGTGTAGAGATCCCCAGTAAAATCTTCACTTATGGGAATCGGTGGAGATGTTCTAACCGGCACTTCAGATAATCCCTCATCAGAAAATCCACGGAAACCATATGGAATTCCAACAATATTTTTTACCCCATATTTTTCAAGTGTGAGCACTATCTGCAACCACAAAAACGAAAGTAATATGTCTTCTTCAAAGTAACATTTGATGATAAAAGAGTGAAATCTCCTTCTGTGGTACTGCCAAGTATAATAAAGATACTGAACAAGTATCAAGCACACAAGTCGATTACCCTCAGCCTGGGCACTTTATTCAAACAACTATTAGCATAAAGCTAATAGGAGTTCCATGCACAAATAATTTGATAAAGTCTAAAAAGGTCCAAAACAATCTGGCAAACTTCTGAAGGGCTTAAGTTTTAGCAGAAACATCAGGCTTGAATCCACTACTTGACAAGCCTTTTCAAGCTAAAACTCAATATAACATGAACCCTAGACCAGAATTTGATATTCTGAGTCAAAAAAATTTTATCATTGATTTATTTTGCTTTTCTTTTTTTTTCTTTTACGAAGATGCATGTCTATTGAAATGGATAAAAATTATAGGAATGACATTCAACAAATACATTAGTGCTTAAAAGGTGTGTTCTAATGAATCTGTCTGTAAAGATGTAAAAATTAGGTACAGAAAGATCATGATAACCAACCTGCCTAATTACATCATTGAGACCAGGACAAAGCCCTCCACAAGTAACAATTGCAGCTTTTACCTCCCTCGGTTCATAGTATATTTGCTTACGTGGTCCAGCACGGTGCACCCTACAAAGATTAAAAACCATAATTACTATAAAAAATGGAGTAGGAAATGA